TTGTGTGTGTTATCTTGTCTCCGTGCCGGTGGACACACGCAGATTAACATCCATACACCATGATGGCTTTCCCACTGGGGTTATCGACAACTGTAGGCTTCCCATCTACATACTGCCCCGCACTGTGCGATATCCCATACTTTCCAACTTGACACAATGCGAATATACTTGTATATACCACTTTCATTTATTGAACCCATTTTCAAAAGGAATAATGTACAAATGCAAAAACACTAATAAAATATTCATTACCCAAATTGTTAGGGCCAGAAAGGGGGGCCGCGCAGCTAGTGAACCCGATCAACCACGTGTTTAGCCAACATCGCTACAGCACACTTAGATTACAGTCACGAGGCGAGCGCGCGATGGAACGAATTACTGCATGTGCACCCCTCTCCCGCCCCTCTTAACTTTCTTACCTTCACTAGACTTCGCGCAATTCCACACGCCTGCACGTTATCTGTCAGCACTACACCCGGACACGCGCGGAACATTAACACCTAACATAGTATATTGTAAACTATTAATTCACTCGATATTCTCAACAACGGATATCACCGAACTTGTCTTACTGTTACACATATGCAATTTGCATACTCACAACATCCGACACCACGGTCACACAGACACGCGCTCTACAATACAATAAATCAGTAAACTCGAGCATGCTCATTAAGCTCGCGCAGATTTATGATCTCTACGTCTCCCTCAACGCTCGCTATTCGACAAGCCCGCTTAAGGCTACACCACTCTAATATGGATACATATTCCACCGTACATACGTACTCTCATCGCTCACGCACTCTCTCCTCCAACCGTTACACCTCCCTAGCACGTAGTAATCCAACGATCTCTCATTGTGTATTGTAGTTGGTAAGAAACCAATATAATAATCAACAGTCCCTGTATTTTCATTTCTTTGAATATTTCTGCTTCCGATGTAGACTTTTTTTTAAGGCAAAATAAAAAAGCTGTTGTTGAATGGATGCCAAGTAGTATTAGCAATCATTATCATCGTTCTTACTTTCATCTATGACTATCACGTGATTACCAAAGTCAATTTCATTTTCACCAAAAGCTATTTGTGAACGCCTGCTATCGCCCCTCTCCGGCGTTGTATTCAGGTCACCGCGAAAGGGATAACCAATTATAAACCCAGTCTACTCCATAATTGTGGGCCGCAGCGTCAGGCAAACGGATCTCGCAACTATCATAAGACTTACTTCCAGATGTCACGCGAGTGACTCAATGACACACCCTTCACGCGTCCTACTTCTGTCTCTAAGTTCGCATAGACCTATACAGCGTCAAAAACCAGTTCTCGATGAATGACCTACATAGTTCTATAACAAGCTCGAAAGGTCCTCACTCCACGCTCGCACATTCTCAATACGTCCTCACATAGTCGCAGACACCGATCTGACGCTCGCCACCAAACTCATCTCACCAACGATACATCCCTGATAGTACCAGTCTAATACATAATACAAGCCTCCACTGCTTATATCACGCAGACTAGCCACCGGACAACTCCAGCTCTCCTGGCACACACGACACAATTGCGCTTCTATCTATACATAGATACACGTCTTCTAACTGTAGCCCACCCCACTCCGTTACCACGACTTCTCTCAGCCACTGACGGATATACTCATATCTCTCTACACGCGCCAACGCCCCGAACTCCTCCCTCCCACTGCATCTCATGATACGCTCCTAAGCCTCTTCCGTGCCGCTCTCTTTCCTCCTCCCGATACTCACCTCTCGTTCTCTACTGTTCTTCTCATCATCTCCTTACTTAAATAAACAGTAACAGGAACTAGCAACTACACCCACCAAGTTGACACACACCTAACAGTCATCGAGTGTAGTACCAATTAAGGGTCTTAAGATATCACTCTCTTTACAGCACCATCGATTACTATAATAGATCCACCCTCATCACATAGATAACCCTCAATCCCGTACACACGCCTCACGCCGCCGAATTCACGTTGAATACTAGTCCTACTCTACAGCAACCGTTGCATTTCGCCCAGGCTGTTACAACTATCCCGTAAACCGAAAACTCCCTGCGACGATCGTCGCTCTCTAATTAGCTATTACCTCTTCGCCACCGGTATAATGCACAACCTTCCCTGACCTCCTACGTCACTATCTAGCACTGTTCACATATGAGACACCGCTGTCGTCTCCCTACCGACACTAATATACTACCTACCCAACAGTAAAGACACTTCGCTGAATCACTCCCTCCCGCCTATCCCACACTCTATATCACCTAATCAACTCTTTACCCATCTTAATATCTTATATTATATATATATATAATATACCCTACCTCAGCACACTCCTAATATCCATGATATCTCGATCCTCTTATTGTCTGTATCATCATTGCAAATATTTAAAACTACTCGAGATTGCAAGTCACCCTCATGGTCTCGGTATTTGCATCGGCAGTGTGGTGTTGCTGGTGTTGGCGTTACTCCGGCACACA